TAATGAATCTTTTAGAAAGATTTATTTGAGCTTAAGAATCAAGAGGGGATGTAATAGAGTCCACTCTACATAGCAAATAGCCTAGGTTAAAATTATGTTTTCTATCTGATTGATTCTTTAAAATATTCTCAATGGCTTAAGTGCTTCATAAACAAGAAAAACTTTAAAAAACACTTTCAAATACAAACAGGTGGGCCCATTTGTGGTATAGGTGCAAATAGCAATAAAAATTGATAGTACTTAGGATCTTCCATCACTATATAATTTTACTCTAAGGCACTCAATGTTTAAGATACCCTTTAAAGTAATGTGAAGTCATAAATACATTTTAAATATTAATGGAATAATATTTCATTAAGTACTTACTTGATGTTATCAATTAAAAAAAAACTTAAAAATTACATAGCAATAAACCACAATAAAGAAAACTAAAAGGGCTTAAAGTTCCTGGTAGAGATCAACCTCTAGAACCTTTGTTACGGTAAGCTCCTGAAAGCGTTGTGTAGAAAATGAAAGGTGAGAAAGCACTGTCCAACATCTTCATTTTCAGAATTCCTAACCAAGGACACATCCTGCACAGACTTTCTGAAACTGTCCTGTTCTCCAATACATAGCAGCTCTATCCAAGAGCTCATTTGCTTCTGTGGATATTTTATTGGTTGGGGAAAGGATGAGATAGTACCTCACTTAGTTCCTTGCCTATAGCACAATTTTGCAAATCTAATGCCTGCTGGCCTGAGTCTAACTGTTTCGGTGTTCATTCTAATATAACCCCCACCAGTATTGCCCTCAATGCATTGTCAATGTATTACCCAGCGACCTCATTCTTTCAAAGCTCAAGGGATATCACCCTTTCACTGTTACTGATACTCTGTAGTACTCTCTGGAAGCTCAATGTCTCAGCTCTGTTTACTTAGTTCCCTTCTTTCCCCACTTTAGTGAATGGCATTACCATAAACCAAAACAGTTGCTTAAGCCAGGAAACTGAAAATCAGTTGTGATTCTTCCTCCCTTCACCCCTCTGATATCCAATTATCCACCAAATCTAGTAGATTCCACCTCCTAAATCTCTCTAGAATGAATTTATTTCTAAATCATGGTTCAAGTTACCACATTTCTCACCTGAACTACTGTAATAAGCCTTCTAGTGGTCTTCATATCTACAACAGTCCTGACTCAATTCAATCTACTCTCCACAATGCAAATGATGAAACTTCCTAAATTGTTTCTTACTATGTTTCTTTTCTGCTTTAAAAATTTTAATCTCACATCAATTAGGATGCCTACTCTTAGAAAAAGGTCAGATAAAATAACAAGTGTTGGCAAGGATCTGGAAACCTTGGAACTTTTTGCACTGCTGGCATAAAATGGTGCAGCCGCTATGGAAAACAGCTCCTCAAAAAGCTAAAAACAGAATTACCATATGCTCCAGCAATTCTACTTCTGGTCTGGGCATATACCCAAAAGAACTAAAAGCAGGGACTTGAACAGAGCCCAAGTTCATAGCAGCATTATTAGCAATAGCTACAATGCCCAAAAGATGGACGTGTCCCTCAATGAATAAATTGATAAAATATAATATATAAACACACAATGGAGTATTATTGAGCCTTAAAAAGAAAGGAATTCTGACACATGCTGCAAAATGAATGAGCCTTGAAGACATTATGCTGAGTGAAATAAGCCACACACACAAAAAGACAAATACTGTATGATTCCTCTTATCTGAGGGGTATAGAGAAGTCAAATTCATGGAGACAAAAACTAGAATGATGGCTGCCAGGGGCAGGTGGCTATAATTTAATGAGTATGGAGTTTCAGTTTGGGAAGATGAAATAGTTCAGGACAAAGGTGGTAGTGATGGTTGTACAACAATGTGAATGTATTTAATGTCACTAAACTCTATACTTAAAATTTATTACAATATTAAATTTTATGTTATATATATTTCACCATAATAAAAAAAGATCACCAAAAAAATCACAAATCTATAATGGGTCCTCATTAACCTCAGGATGAAGTCTAGTGATTGCATTAATGTGGTTTACAATACCCTTCAGGACTTAGTCCTAGTATACCTCTCCTCTTGCTACGATTCTCTCTTCCACTAGGGTCCAGCCATATTGACCTATGCTGGACCCTTATAAAAGTATTTACATAAACTGTTCCCTCTATCTAAAAGACAAGCCTCTTCGATTCTCTCCATTTGTAACTTCTTCATCTTCAGCTCTGTGTATCCCTTCTTGATAGTACTTACCACAATACTGTAGCTGCTATTTGTTTTAGTGTCTCCCTTCCTACTAGTTTAAAGCTCTATGAAGGCAAAAGAATGTCTCAACTTGTTTGGAATTACATCCTCAGTGCCTGGCACATACAAGTATTCAGTAAACATTGTGGATTATATAAGTAAATGTAGAAAATAGGAAAGCAATCATTGAGGCACAATAAGGTATGTAACACACACAGCTGGACACATACCATTCCACTGCAGGCATCTTTAAAATATTTTATGCCTATTACAAACAAGTAACCAAAAGGCTCAAATTCTTGAGATAAAATTCTAAATATAAAAAATTTCCTTCATGCTATTCTACCGTCTTCTACAACTCTTTTTGAGGGACAATTATGGCAATTTTTAAGTCGGTGTTTTTCAAATTAAGTATGGAAGTGTTTTTATTTCTCTCACAACTTTTAAAATGTAAACATTGTATAGTTCAGCCACAGCCTTTACTTCCAAGCAACTTCTCCATGGGTCTCAATTCCCTCTTAAATAACATACTCTTTTTCCAGAAGGCAGTTAGCTTTTCATCATTCTTTCTCTTTAGATAACATATAAAGACAAATCCTGTAAGGACAAGTCTATGCACCCAGTGGTCACACGCAATCTGAAGTAAGTCCATCATGACTGCAAAGGCTCCGGTTCCAACAACGACCTACCCCACACCAAGGGTAGTGACGAGCTCAGCCCCGGCTATCAGTTTGTTTTTAATGTCATTTTATTTAAAATGTACACAAGGATCTCACTGCTTTCAGATGAGGTCACTGAGAAATGCCAAGTCAAAATCCTAAAAATCTTGGCACAACCTTCCATATTGAAAGAATTGGTTATTTGTCCATAGTTTTACTACGTTCTGATTTTTTAAAAGGAGGTATCAGCTTCAAAATGCAGAAATATCTATCTTATTTCATACTTTGCAACCATATAGTTTATTATTTGAAACATCAATATTTTTGATACTTTAAAAATCAACTGTTCACACAGCTTGATTCAAAATGGAAAGAGTCTAAAACTAGTCATGTTGCACAATGTTGTCAGGACAAATCTTCTAAGAAATGGCTTTGGTAAGCGTGGTGAATTTATCATATTCCTATAACTAAAGACTTTCAAACTCTCAAATCCAAAATGGAAAATGTATCCAGAAATTGCAGAAACATGCTGTGAAGAACTCTCCTCTTTTCCCCTCCCCACTCTTTCTTTCTGCTTTATTGCCATGTTTCTCTTCCTCTCTTTAAAAAGAGTGAAAGCAGGTAATCTCAACAATGTTCAAAACCTGATAAAGGTGAAAAGTATTTATCACTTAATCCCTTTCTGGATCTGACTTTTTTTTTTTTTTAACTTTTTTTGTAGAGACAGAGTCTTGCTATGTTGCCCAGGCTGGCCTTGAAGTCCTGGGCTCAAGCAATCCTCCCACCTCAACCTCCCAAAGTACTGGGATTCTGTAATCCCTGCAGCCGTGTGCTGCAACACCCATCCCTGACTCTTTAATCAAAAGTGAATTTGCTACATGCATACAGTAGATTGCTACTCAGCAATAAATGGAAAAACAAACACATACAACAATTAGATGAAACTCAAAAACATCACGCTGAGCAAAAATTGCCAAACATGAAAGAGTACACACTGTATGATTCCACTTACATGAAGTTCTAGGAGGAGGTACAACAAATCTACAGCAATAAAACTCAGCAGTGATTGCTTCTGGTGAAGACGGAATAACTGAGAAGGGGCATGAAGGAACTGACCTTCTGGGGTGATAAAAATGTTCTACATCAGACCAAAGTGTGAATCACACTTTTGTATACATTTGTCAATGCTGATCAAACCGAATAATTAAGATCTGTACATTTCCCGATATGCAAATTACACCCTAATTTTAAAGAGAATGCTCTTTTTCTAGCTAATTAAACTTTTTTTATTACTTAAAAATGTGAAATAAGACTCAGTTTCTACAAAGTACTTAGTATTTTCTAAAATATATTATCACTGCTCACCTGTATTGAGTGCAACTTAACTTACCCATGGAAAAAATAGCTGAAAATCATGTATATAAGAAACCATGGGCTGAGGTGGAAATAAGCACTGGCAACATTATCCATTTTTCCAGTACTTTTCAATCTACCAGATCTAAAAATGCTTTACAAAAAATATTTTTAGAAGACTCATGCTACAATTTACCAGTTTCATCTGCTATGAAGGGAGCTGCTACTTTCATTTGCTCTCAGCCTACTACATAGTCACCAAAACACACGAATAGAAATTGTCGAGTACAGCCATAAGGCACCACAAAGAAGCAAGGGTTTTTTGTTTTTTTTTTTACTTCTTTCTCATAAATGTTCACCGCTATCAATAACAGTAAATAAAGGACTGTCGCTTAGATCATCTCATCATAAATATCCTTCCCATGCACAATAACAGAAATTGCTAACAATAAAACTTTTTGTTAAATTTTATAATTCAAGGTCTAGCAGGAGTTCCTAACCAGTTTGCAGAAGGGAAAGGGGAAGGGAGGATTTGACTAAGAAGTCAGTGGATAAAATAGATATACTGTATTATTTCATTTGCGTTTTTGTTGGCGTCATACAATCCAGAAAATAGGCATTTTCATAGGGTTTCTTTCCATGCCACATTTTTCTCCTCTCCTTTCAGAAAAATAAACACAAGCAGTCATGTTCCTGTGGAATTAGTTGAATGCTAAAAGCAAAACTTTCAGACCACTTACCTTATGTTGGCTATGTGCTGTTGCACAGGCTGATGCTGAAAATGGTCAGGCCACGGATGATGCAGGCAGAAGGATGGAGAGGGCTGAAGACAGCACGTAGTCTGATACACAGGTGAATGATGTGGACAAAGAGATGCGGAATACTCGGAGTGTGGCTGCATGCAACACGAGGCCAAAGCAGAGGGTGCTGCAGGGCCAGCCTCGGGATGGCACTCTTGGTGACTGCTATGGCTAGTCAAAGGGTGATGGTAGGGACAAGGATGACAGCATTGGGATAACATCTGAGGCATTCTTTGGTTGTCTAAAGGCAGTAAGGACGATTTAACTGTGCCGTTAAGTTGCAGGCATCCATTTGGACTCACTTTTGTTCTTGTTGCTTCTTTGGGTGTGAACTGCTGGGCTGCACGATCTCCATCACAGGGACTGAGGCGATTTGGGTCAGCAGCACCGGCTGTGATGCTGCTATTACTCAGAACCACAAAATCATTGTTTCCATTGCTCATAGCCATGCTCCAATTTCTTGACCCTAAGAAAGAAAATCGTATAAAATTCCCCAGTTATAGTCAGGCAGGCAAATGTGTAGGAAAGACAAGTATGATATTTAAAAATAGCTCTTGGAAAATGAGGGTTCTTGCAGAGTTGTGAGGCAGCAGTGGAAATTCGGCAGCATCTGTGATGGAGCCAGCAACACAGTGGCCCTCCTCTTCCTTCCTCCAGCGATTTTATGCACCTTAAGAACCCTCTTCTATTCCCATTGATCACCTTTCTCCTGCCCACCTCTCCTTTCAGTGCCTTTCTTCTCACCCCATCCTAGATGCACAAGTAATCAGTTAAGAACCAGACCATTTTGCACAGGGGAGGGGAGAGGATACAAAGAGCATCCTTCAGCTTTTCAACAGTGTCATGCTTGGCTTGCATATTCTGATTTAGGGGTGACAGGAAAAATGAAGGGCCATTCTGAGGGCAATTAGTTGTACAAGGTTAAAATAATTTGAATAATCTTAAGAATGTTTTATATCTTAGAAAAATCTCAAGTATATATGATTTTTCCTCTTAGTTATTCAAGTCTGAGAATAATAAATTAAAACCAGTTAGGAAAGCTAAGAATTCTAGCAACCAAAATATCAGATGTAAAATTCTACGTAATATACTAAAGGTAACATTGCTTGCACATTAGAAAAATAATACTATGGGTGGGATTTGCTTCAAATGAGATTTTTTTCTTACTTTTTTTTTCCTTCCACCAAAGGGTTGAGGCCTTCAATATAAAGGAAGATCCTGAGATACTCAAATTACCAGTACAAGTGTGTTCAATCAACCAACAAAACAAAAAGAGACAACCTCCCTATCTCCTTGCCCACTGCACCACCCTCTGAGCAACATACACACAAAATCTGGAAATTCACAGTAAAAAACAAATTGGTCATCAAATGTTATTAGTCTATTCAACACACACATGAAAGCCTACAACAAAAAAAGAAAACTGTAATTTGGCTCGCTAACGATTCTGACTTGCCATTCTCTAAGCAGCCAAAACATCTTCTGGAGGAATCTGTCTCCAGTCCTTCCCCATCTCTGGCAGACACACAGGTAACCAGAAGAAATCATCTTTTTCAGTCTGAGTACATGGTAATCTCACTTGCAAACCTGGATCTCCCATGAGGATTCCTATGTACATTTTCACCCCGTGTGTAAACTACTCAGCAGGGGCATTTGTGAGCAGAGCATGCCCATACTAGGATATAAATTTAGCAAATTTGCCTTTCAAACAAAATTCCTCAAACACCCACCCCACCAACACACACACAAATTCAGTTAAATAAACTTCATGCAACATGAATTTCTTCATAAATTGCTTAGAGGAAAGACAAAGCATTTAAAAACATCTAAAAATATAAATAATCAAGTAGATGTCACTTCCCTCATCAGTCTTACATCACTTTTGAAAATGGCTTGGCAATCTCAAACCTCCTTTAATAATGACCATTGATACGGATTCTGAATTGTAGTAAATACAGTTGCTCTCTCCTTCATTAAACCACTTCCCAGTGTATCCAATGTAAAACAAATATCCAATGTAAAACATTCAAATAATATACCCAACACAGAGTAATAGTAGTTAAATGTATTATCTAAACTAGCCGGGCGGCAGGGTAGATATGCCGACTGGAAAGAGCATTGATCTGATCCAGGAGGCAAGAACTCTACTCATCCCATCATTTTCTAAATGTGCCATCTGAGCAAGATCTGCTCATTTACACTTCAGTTTACTGAAGAATATAACCTTTCTTTTGTTAAGAAAAGAAAAAGCCATATGCAAGTACTATGAAAAAAATAAAAGGACATTTAAATAAGGAGCATTGGACTTTTTTTAAAAAGTTAATTGAAATTTAAGAGGTTTAATTGTGTGTTAAAGTAGGAAACAATCACTAGATGAGGTCAATGCCATTATTTCCCAGAATTAGAAACTCTGTACAAGCACACCATTCAAAGAAATCACCGAAGGCACAGGCTTTTCTCCAACCTCCACCTGTACCTCAGCTAAGCTGTCAAGCTGATGGGATCTGCTGGGTTAAATGGGAAAGTCAACAACCCTTCCTGCCCTTTCCATAAGGAGGGTGGAAGGAAGAAATACTTCTAATTTGTTGGTTTGTTTTTACCATCCCAGGTTGGTTAATATATCATCTCAAATAGTCTACTTTTTCCTAAGTATTTAATTCAATCAGTCCTACTGATTCTGCTCTCAGATGTTAGGTAAGTTATGCTAGTGAGAGCATCTAACAATAAATGACTTAAGGGAAACTGGCTGATATGGTTTGGATCTGTGTCCTGCCCAAATCGCATGTCGAATTGTAATCCCCAATGTCGGAGGTGGGGCCTGGCTGGAGGTGATTGGATCGTGGGGATAGATTTGCCTTGTGGTGCTGTTCTCGTGATAGTGAGTGGGTTCTTGTGACATCTGGTCATTTAAAAGTGTGTGGCACATGTCCACCCTCCCCCACCCCAACTTTTTCTTTCTCTGGCCAGCTTCCCTTTTACTTTCTGCCATGATTGTAAGTTTCCTAAGGCTTCCCCAGAAGCTAAACAGGTGCTGCCATATTTCCTGTGTAGCCAGCAGAACCATGAGCCAATGAAACCTCTTTTCTTTATAAATTACCCAGCCTCAGGTATTTCTTTTCTTTTTCTTTTTTCCTTTTTTTTTTCGAGACAGGGTCTCGATCTGTTGCCCAGGCTGTAGTGAAGTGGTGTAATCTTGGCTCACTGTGACTTCTGCAACCCAGGTTCAAGAGATTCTCCCACCTCAGCCTCCGGAGTAGCTAGGACCACAGGTGTGTGTGCCAACCACGCCTGGCTAATTTTTGTATTTTTTGGTAGAGACAGGGTTTCACCATGTTGGCCAGTCTGGTCTCAAAGTCCTGACCTCAAGTGATCTGCCCGCCTCAACCTCTCAAAGTGCTAGGATTACAGGCATGAGCCACCATGCCCAGCCCAGGTATATCTTTATGGTAGCATAAGAACTGAATACATTGGCCTTCAGACAGAATCCCATTAACCTCTAACTTCCTTCAAAGATCCCTGAAATACCCCCTAGATCTGCCTCAATCTTCATGTTTCCCTATCTTCTGATTAAATCTGTTTATCCCAAGAAAAAAAAAATATTTTTCTTTGTAACCAGAATCACAACTATCATTGTCTTGTATATTTATTACAAATGTATCATTTTGTAGTCATACAAGAGTTAAATAGGTTCTTATATGCCAGCCAGGGACCTAATCATCATTTATAACATTTTTTTTCCACTTGGTAAAATGTAGTTCAAATGCCAAAAAGCTGACTTACAAATGAATTTTTGGAACACAACCTATTTTGTAACTTGGGAGACTTCCTATAATGAAGTAGGAACTAATAAAGAATAATTTGAACTCTGACTTTGGCTTGTATTTGAAGCAAGTCACATGAGTGTTCTCTGATTCCGTTTCTTTAATCACAACATGGGACCAATCAATTTGACCTCATAAATGAGTAAAAACTATAAGTAAGAATATTAAGAAAGAAAAAAAGAAAAAAATATTTTATAAAATATCTATGGATTATTTAAGTTCAATGGATGTATTTGGGTAGGTGTTCAGGTGACCAGCAAAATAGGAAAGCATTTTGCTCTGATGTCAAGAGTTGACCCTGAGGATCATCCCTTTCATCCCTTTTTCCCTTTTTTTTATTTTTTTAGACAAGGTCTTGCTCTGTTACCCAGGCTAGACTGCAGTAGCGCGATCATGGCTCCCTGCAGCCTAAACCTCTCGGGCCCATGCAATCCTCCTGCCTCAGTCTCCTAAGTAGCTGGGACAACAGGCATGTACCATCATGTCATGCTAATTTTTAATATTTTTTTGTAGAGATGGGGTCTCCTATGTTGCCCAGGCTGGTCTCGAACCCCTGAGCTCAAGAGATCCTCCTGCCTCAGCCTCCCAAAGTGCTAGGATAACAGGATGAGCAACCATGCTCAGCCTCCTTTTTCTTTAGAACTGAGACAAATGAGGAAAAAATCCAGTCTGAACCTAAGATGGAGGGAACTAACAGGAAAGAACATGAGATAGAGGAAGTATAACAAAAAGGAATGGAATAAGGAGTTCCTGAAAGAGAGTGTTAATACCCTCACATTTGTCACACTATTGTGCTAAGCATAACAGTATGTGGTTATGAATGCAGTGATAGTAATACTTCTGGTGACAGCTTAAAATCAGTTTTGGATAAAATATAATGAGTAACCTTAAAAGATAGCTATGTTGAGGCTGGGCACAGTGGTTCATGCCTGTCATCCCAGCACTTTGGGAGGCTGAGGCAGGAGGACTGCTTGAACCCAGGAGTTTAAAACAAGCCTGAAAATATAGTGATACCTTGTCTCTAAAAAAAAAAAATTAAAAATTAGCTGAGAGTAGTTGCTTGCCTGTAGTTCCAGCTAATTGGAAGGCTGAGATGGGAGGATCGCTTGAGCCCAGGAGGTGGAGGTTGCAGTGAGCTGAGAGCACACCACTGTACTCCAACCTGGGTGATAGAGTGAGATCCTGTCTCAGAAAAGAAAAAAAATAATACAGCTATGTTGAAATCACCTGTTCTCCCATCCAGGGCCATAACACATAGGGGAATGCAAAAAAAAAAAAAAAAAAAAAAAAGCTATTATTGAAGTACTGGCTTGAGATGTGATGGGCCCATACCAAGATATTTTAGCGCATTTCCTGCTGTTCGTGAATATAACATACCAATATCAATAAATTCAAAGGCTTTAATCTCATATCCCCTATTTTACCTTTTTGGCCAGCATTTTAATGTCCAGAATGATTTAGTAGTTTTGGGGCTACAAAGTCTTTGACCAAAAACCATCCTTTGATTAAATTTAAAAGTATACATTTCATAGGATTACTCTGAGAATGTAAAAATGTTTTGAAAACCATAATGGGCTACATATTTATAATGAAAGAGTTTTATCATCACTGCTTGATTGAGTAATGAGAATATAAAAACGTGGAA